CAGATTGGAGGCTTCATCTGCTGGGGAGCTGGACCTTATGTTGGAAGAAGGTCTGCCATGAATACACAAGAGTTCAGCAAACTCCACCAGTGTTCTCCTGCTCTTTGTCCCATTGGGACAGAGCCTCAAAGCAGGAATAGGACTATGTCATGGCTTATGGGATTGGCATGTTCCTGAAGACTTGCCTCTTCTCTTCTTTTCTTCTCCTCATGCCTTCAGCAAATCGCAGCTTGAGGATCTGACTGAGCTAGAAGCACAGACCTAGTAGGAGGGGGACCAACTCTGCAGAACAGCATCGGAATGCACAGCACCAGACTTGATCCTGACAAAAGTGATGTTTGCCTGACTTTGCAGTTATAAATAATCTCAAATGCTTTGCAAAAATTGAATAAGGAAATTAAAAGCAAGTGAATGAGTAATTTAAACAAAAACTGTGAGAAAGGGAGGAGGGAGAATCCACATTTAATCAAATTAGAACTGTTGTCCAATGCCATTAATTATGCCCAGACATGTGATGTGTTTCGCAGGAATTGATACAGTTGAGCTTTGTTTGTGCTGGGGTTGTTCAGGGACAAGCATGTCTACTGGTGTAGACCAGCCTTTGTGCTTTGCAAAAACCTTCAGATCTGATACCCAGCTGTAGCCCGGAGTAAGGAGTAACCTGAAAAGCCTGCGCAGCTCTCTACGGAACAAAGGGCGTCTCTGGGAGAACGACGATTCAATGTACATCTTTTCAGTGTTTTTTGAAGAGGGATTGTTTTAGTGGAAGTAATAATCTCCTGTAATTTTATATTATTTGCAGATGGTTTTAAATTGTTTCTCAGGCAAAGAATAAAGAACTTTGTTTACTATTTGAAAGTAGGATGGCTGACCCTCCTGGGGAGGTTATTCATTTATTTAAAAAGATATGAAATAGCTATTTCGATGAAAACATAACTCTAGAAATTGAAATGTTTATGATTATAGAAGCTGTAGTTTTCTAATGCAAAATAAGCCCTGGGAGATGTGCCCTAAATGGTAAATCACTCTGGTTGTTAACAAAACAAGAATTACTATTATTTTATGGTTCTTGCTTATTTTACAAGGCCTTTAGCTGTTTCATCTGCACTTAACTTTTACAGGCTAGGCATAAATTGATTTTTTTTTTTTTTTTTGGTTCTTGTTTTGCTGTTTAAATAGCTTGGTTTTTTGTTTGTGTTTTTAAAGCATGCTGGAGATTTAAACACAGATAAACAGGATAGGATTCATTTAGTACTGAGGAAAAAAAAGCAGGGAGAAAAGCCTTGGCTATTGATACCCTTTGCAATAGCAGGATTGGAATCTATTCTTACAACTTAGTGTTGTCTCATAAACTTCTTGGAAGGAACCAGAGATGATTATTTGAAGGGAACCGTGTGGGTAACACTCAGCCAGTTTTTGGTAGGTGTCACCTTGCATTGTGGTGACCTGTTGCAAGAGGAATCCCATCACCATTTTACAGAGGTGGGGTGTTCTCTGTAGTCTGGCAGTTGTGCTTGAACGTTTCCAGGGGAGGGAGCAGTCCCTGGAGGAGAAAGGAGCTGCCCTGCAGGAGCTGTCAGCGATCCCTACAGTCTCCCATTGATGGCAACTGGAAAGAAGCTCCTGTTAGACCTGGTCTTCCCAGGTGCTCAACTGATGCTGGTGATTGCTGCAGAATGGCAGATCCCTCTGGTCTTCGGGAGCCCCCTCCTGTCCAGCAGTCAGGCCACAGCCCCTTGGCCAGAATTGTCGGTTTGTGTTTGCTTTGAGAGCACCCTAGCAAGGCAAATGAAGGAGAGTGCGTTGTCCTAGACTGGAGTCTCTTCTTGTCTAGCAGGTAGCAAAATACCAGTAGGATTGCTCACGGCGGGAGTAGTATTCCAGCGCTGTCGGGTTACTTTTGTTTTGGATAATTGGGCTCTAGCAAGTGTTTGGAGTCTCTGAGATGTATTTAGCAAAAGAGCGTCCTAGATACTGGCTTAGAAGCTGAGCACAGGGGAACGTGGTTGAAAGGGGTAATGTGTCCCAGTTTCTGCAATTTGTAATGACCTAAAATATCTAACGATGGAAACTAAAACAAAACAGATAATAACATAGAAAAGATTGAAAGATTTTGTTGAAAGCTTGTGACAACTACAAGTGAGCAATGTAGAGAAAGTACTGGCTTTGGAGATGAAAGAACCTGAAACTCCTGAAGCTGATTCAGGGAAGAGTAAGTTGGATGATATTCAGTCGTCTTTTCTTGCTTCGTCCCTCAGTAGTTCACATGGAAGAAGGAAAACACATGAATATGTAGTCCGTTTAGCTGTCTGCGTTGGAATATCTGCCTTCAATTTGGCAAGCTTTTATGCTTTCTGAGGCTCAGGACGGTCTCTTGCTACCAATAGTTTTCTCCTTTAGGAATGCAGATCTGCACCATATCTCCCTGAATCTTTGTTTTAGGAGCAGCTACAGGATAAAAACAAGCTCTGGTGCTCATTTAAAGTCAATATGTTCTATTTTTCAGTTTGCTTATGTTTAAGTGCCAAGCTTTAAAGATTTGCTTTGCCTACAGGCAGCCTGAATACAAAGGGAGACTTTATTTTTTATAAACTAAAAAGTACTGCAAAAGCACAAAGAGCAAAATATTTCTTTCCTCCTTCCATGTCCCCAGGTTCATTATCACAATACGAGGTTTGCCTCTGAAGAATCTAGAGGAGAAGGAAGAGCCATGAATTCATTTAGTCACCTCAGGGGGCGGCTAGAAATGAACGTGATGGATGAGATGCGCCTGTGTACATACATGTGTGCGAGGAGTAAGAAAATCCCACCTTGAAGCAGTTTTGGCACTTGATGCCATGGCAGTGACAAGGTTTACAAGGACAAGGTGTAAGGGGAAAAGTCTGTGCACGTGAAACCAATTTCTTTGTTGCTGGTGAGACTAAGATTGTGTCAAGATGAATGGAAGTTCTGAATCTTCACCGAACTGCAGTATTGTGTAAATCCCTTCTATTTAAGGGGAAGCTTTACTGTGGGGTGAGGAGAATAGAATTGCAGTTGGAATATAGCCGGTCAAGAAAAACGTGAAGGGATTCATACGTTTGTCACAGGAGCTAATTTCCCTCCTGAAACTGTGGTCAGAGGATGCAATCTGACTTGTGAACCCTACCACAGAGGATTCAGCGTGCATCAGAAGTTATTGGCCGTAACGATAAACACTGCAGACTGAAAGTAGGGATTTTCTTTAGGATTTCAGAAGCCTAATACTGATTGATTAATTCTATAGCCTGAGTTATTCTCAGGCTAATTCTAATAGAAATTAGAGCAGTGGCTGCTTATAGCACCTCTGGTGGTCCAGTATGTGCTACCTTTGAAGGTTGTCCATGTTGCATTTTGACTGAGATGATTGCCTGAGGCTTATTGTCATGGTCTTAGTTAATATTAGCACTTATGTGAAAATGAAAGTGACTTCCAAGCTGAAGTCCAAATTCCAGAATGCCAGAATAGAGCCGCAAACAAAGGAAACTGAACAAGGGCATCTCAGCTTGCCTCAAAGGAAGTTACAGATCACACAAGGATTTAATGAAGTACATTTTCATAAAGTCATTTGGAAGAATACTGTCCTTCAGGGCTTAAAAATTGGCCGTTCCAAGGGTGCAATCCAAAGTCCATTATCAGGATGAAATGCAATTTTGCCAAACAAAATGTTATGAAACAAAATGCAGCAGTTCGCTGGAGATGAGGTTGCTCACAGATACAGGATATTTAAGCCTTGACATAATTAGACTTAGCTCCTGCATGGCAACAGTTTCATCCATATCTTTTTGTTTCCCTGCGATGTGAAAAGGTAGACTGAATTTGTCAACGACGTTTTCTCGAGGAGAATTATGTTGACTTTGCGGTTTAAGGCCCTGTGTACTTCTTCCTTCTGTTTAATAAAAAAAATAAAGACTCTGTGTATGTGTTCCTTAATGAAGGATATTCTTTATATTCTATTTGACAAGACGTGTGAATAGAAGCCCTGCTTTGGCTTTGAGGTCTGTGTAGGTGGATGCTGTGCTTGCGTGTAGCCCACTGCCTTCATGGCGTATAATGAAATGAACAATCTGCCGTTTCATTTTACGTGGTTGAGGATTTATAATGTTGGGGAAAAGTCTTATTTCTATATCTATTTTTTTTTAAACCACTTGCCTTGAAGCTTCTGAAGCCCATTCATCAACCAAAGGGGAACTTCCAAACTTGTGTGCTGAGAGAGATGGTTGCAGGTTGAAAAGGAAAGTTCAGGCACTCGTGCGCATGAGAAGCAGAAGCGTTGTTTTCAGGCAGTTTCCCTGCGAGAACCAGCCTTTGATCTAGTTCCATTCTGTTCAGTGTTTCTTTATGTTGTGCATCTGTGACAACTTTTAAATGAGCTTGTAAGCAGTTACAGACTCACGGAAGGGAGGATGTCAGAATAGTAGCATTCCTAATAATTTGGCTGTTCATCTCTAGCTATCCATACTTTTAAAGTTATCATTGCTCTGGACAATGGGAGACAGGTGCTGCTTTAATAGAAGGTCTTGATCCTTTATAGCCTTCTGTAGTCTGCAACTGAGTGTGTTTTATCAAATGGAAATAAATTGTTAATAGTGTATGAGATTAACTGCTCTGAAACCCAACAGTCCTGTTCACTGTGGAACAGAATGAATGTTTCTATGAGCAGAAATTCCACTCCTCCTACACTGGGCATTGAAGAGAAAGCTTAAAGCAAGTTTAAATATAAAGTAGTACTCTGTTGTAGGTTGCCTATAAATGTGAAGTCCTTGACAGCAGCTTCACATGATTTCCCTTTACTGAGCTGAGTCCAGTCAGACCAGCATAGCTGCAGCATGCTTTTCTGGGACTGTAAATTCTTCTGAGTATTTATTTGCAAGTTGTTGGGTAAAACATGTTTTTTAATTAAAAAACAAAAAGCTGAAATCAGTAGAAGAGTTAAGCCATGATGGTAGAAGTGATGGATGCCTTTGTTTCTGCTCCTTTAGGAACAAAGCCCCAGCAACCAGACATCAATAGCAATGATGCAAGAACCCCAAGAGATGGTGGAAGAGACCGTTACTGTGGAGGAAGACCCAGGCACTCCCACTTCCCACGTGTCTATTGTCACTTCTGAAGATGGAACCACGAGGAGAACTGAAACCAAGGTGAGAGGGGGTGGGATGGACCTTAAAATATAACCAGTGAGGAAAACGGCAAAATATCACCTAGTCATAGAACAAACATAGCAGGGAGTAGAACGGAGCAATGCAAATCATGCCGTTGTGAGCTGTGATTTCATGTGTGTCCTCTTTACCAGCAAAGCTGAGTTAGAAGCAAAACTGAAGAAGTCCTCGTGTCCAGTTTGCTCCTTGTCAGCTGTGCTGATGCAGCTGTTTTTGGAGCAGTGCTGTGAGCTGGACAGTAGAAGTTATCCCACTTAAAAAAACAAAACCACTACAATTCTTCTCCAGCCTATTTCTTCCTGTAAAGTTTGCTTTATTTTACTGATACAGTTCTCAGCAATGCGCTGCAAACAGATACAGTGATAGAAGAGTGAGATGAGATGGTAGGGCCTGGAGTAAATGACTTGCCGCTGAGGAGAATGTGCTTGGAAGTATGCCTTCAAATTAGTTATGATCTTTAACAATATGGGATTATGCTTATGTCCTTCAGAACACAAAATGTTCTATTTAATAACATCACAGCACTTAAATTCTGCATCAGTCTTGTGAGTGGAAATTTATTCCTGATGCACGGGGAAAGCTGGGTATTTTCTCAGGCTGCTGGTACCTCACATTCCTCTGTGCTGTGGATGTTGCATCGGTTTTTGTTTTTTGTTGTTGTTCCCTTCCCTAGACCTTGTGTAAGGTGATTTTGCAGTCTCTGCTGAGCAAGTGCTGTATGTTCATAGTTGCCTAACATGCTTTTGGGTACCGTTAGAACAAAAACATGCCTTGACGTTTGGGTCTTGGGAGTTGAGCTGACATCTTTGTTAGGTGATGTGAAAGATCAAGGGGGTGTGGTGTTTTTTTTTTTTTTAAAAAACAACTTCTAAACAGGATTGATGGAAAAAAGAGACTGTCCAGCTGCTTGCTGTGTTAGAAGGAGTTGAATAGAGGTCATTGCATAAATGAGTGTTTATTTTTACTGGCATTCCAGAATTGCAGTTTTCTGTGATACCTGTTCAGGACAGCAAATCCTCAAGTTGGAGTAAATGAACATTGGCTTCCTGAGATCAGTGGGCTTGCAGAGACTGCCATAAACTGAGTATCTAGTTTAATATTTGTTTGGCTTAGTTAAAAGATAAATTTATCTAGACTATTTTGTCCTTGTTGGAAGGAAATGAGGGTCTTAAAAGTGATTTTTTTTTTTTATTTTAGCTCTTCAAATAATCTATTTCATCTGTAACTTATTTGAAACAAATGCTATTTTCTTTGCGGCAGCAGCAACAACTGTTGTTTACAGGAAGGAAGTGATAAAATTACAGTGGTGATGGACACCTTTTTATATGCTCTAATAGCAGTACATAGTTTTAGGAGGCTGTAAGTGCAGCTATGCAGGGGAATAAAATGATAGCTATGACTGTAAAAATAGAGTAAAGGCTATGCAACGGTCCCTAGATAACAGGATGACATGGAATGAAATATTTTGTCTGAAAGTCATGCCACTGATAAGCTGCGTGTTTGTCATAGCATAAAAGATGCGATTTTCTCCTATGTGGTGTACCTGCTATTTTTCCATCTTCCTACAGGAAAGAACAGTGGCAGCTTGAAAGCAAGTGTTATATTACATTTAGGAAAAGAAAATTAGAAAAAGAGCATCTCTTAGCGCTAATGCTGCAGAGCAATGCTTTATTCTGTTACATTAAGTTCATTCAAAGCACTAAAGTGTTTTAAGAATGGTACGTAGTTGTCGTCTTTGAAACAACATAAATCCCGAGTGACTGCACTGACTTCAGCTTATGTTCTGTCTAGAGAGGTTTCTTAACAGTTCGTTGCTTAACAGTCCAGCTCTTTGAAAAATCCAGTTGTTGTCGGAAAGTGATACTGAAATGTCAAAACACGGATGGGGCTAGCTTAGTCCTAACTCTGTCAGAAGAGGCGCTGGGACTTCAGGGAGGTTGCTGCTGGCTCTTCAATGGTTTTGTTTTGTCTTGCTGTGATAATATGGCATAGATTAACAACTCCTGAATATGAGCCTGAGGTCAGGCTTTTGTTTTTGTTTTTTTAATCACATGGGTTTTCATTTTGTTTTTTGTTTTGATAGTGAACGTGAAAATGGAAACTGTTGTCACTTGAATTTCATAGTGTCAGTTAAGCATCCTGGAGTTGATTGACATCGACTTGCTATCATTTCTAATAGATATCATCGCGGTGTTTTTATAGGGCATGCTATTATATGCAAGTGCCTCACAAAGAAAAGAAACTTAAATTTCATAGTACCTTTGTGAGGAGGCAAAATTCTGACGTTGCTGTTTGGATGAGGACAGTGAACCAGAGTTTCTCTAGGATGCGAGATGCAAATACCTGGGTGTGCAGGTTGTTGTAAGGGCTTTCTTCCTCCTGCTGACTTAGGGCTGTAGAAGGGGCTGTCGTTGAGGTGGAGGACTTGATCCTGCTCTACCACAACGATGGGGGTACTACTGTGATTTCAGTCTCCCTGGGCCTCCACTTTGTGGATGTGCAACCATGTACATAGTAAGTAGATACCCTATTAATTCTTAATGGTGATCTACAGGATTTCTGACCACGTGGAAGTTTGGTTGTCCCAGACAAATTGCCGCTGCACCTCAGTAAAACACTGCCCCATGGCGGAAATCTCACCCATCCTGCTTAGGGTCTGCCCAGTAGGACAGTCTGATTCTGTGGCAGTTCTGCCTTTTGAGATTTATTTAAAGATTGCCCAGATAGGGGCGTGTATATTGTTCGATAATAAGGGGTGGCGCGAGTCACAGCACCCATCTCCTGGCAGGGGTCGGGCCGAAAGGGCTGGTGGTGCTGCCGCCAGGAATCTGTCCCTGTCCCCTGAGCTGTGGGCTTGCTAACTGGCCAAGGCAGCCCCGGAAGGGAGGATGATGCTGCCTGGGGAGAGTGGGAACGGCCCTGTGAGGGGCCAAGTTTAATCTGTTCGTTGGCGAAGCTCTCGCTGGCAGGATCTCTCTTGAGCCCGGGAACTGCTGTTCCACGTCTCTCTGCCTCTTCCCTCCCAGATGGAGAACGTGAATCTGGCTGTGCTTTTAGGGTGCATGCCCTTCTTATCCTTGTAAAGCATCCTTTCCTATGGCGGGAGTCCTCACATCTATGGTATCTAATCTATTACTTAATAAGGGTAATTAAAATTGAGATAGTGGCACTGTCTGTTAAATATATATACGTGTAGAAAGTCAGATGTGTTTTTACATGCACCCTCAGAGTCGGTGTGGTCCTTCCAGCACCCCAACCCTGCACAAATTAATAACTTAACCCTCCTGTTGTTCTTCAAATTAAAGGCTACTTGAGACTTGATTTTTACTCCTACCCTTTTCTAGCTCTTAAACTGTTTCTCAGTATTAGCATCATATACTGGTTTTCCTAAGCCAGTTATCAGCTTGCAGCTTAGTTCTTGACGTGTCTTACTTTCTCTCCAACCTGATTTATGTCTTCTCTCTGACAGAACCACCGGGGCCGGATTTATGCTTGGCACACCTTTTTTTTAATTAAGGTTTTCTTTTTGTTTTTTTTTTTAACCTCAAGGTGGTTAGGACAACATACTGAAAAAGGTTTTCATGCTGTAAGTTGCTGTGTTTTCTCTACTCTTTTTTGGGGAAATATTTAGAACCAGCTTTTCTCCCTCTGTAGCTAGAAAGCTCTTCTGGACAGTGCTAAGTCACCATTTCCAACCATACGTGCTCCACAAAGGAAGTGGCAGCGCAAGATGCTTCCTCTGACAGAGTAAATAACACTGGTTGTGGTTTCTAAAGAGCCACCAAAACTGGAGGAGTTTTCCGGAGATGTGGGTTTTTTTGCTGGGTGACTTATAAGGGGATTAGTCGACCCAGTGCTGTTTAGAATGTGTTTTGATTTCTGCAACAGAAACTTGCTTGTTACTTTTAATACATTTCGTGACTCTTCAGGCTGCTGTCTCTGGAGCTGAAGCGTAGCAAAGGGTGTAAATATGAAAGCTCCTGTGTTACGCTGTTCCTTTGTGTTTTTTTGTGTACCCATTGTTTCAGGACCATAATTTATAGAGGTCATTCTCTTCTGTAGTGTGTTAAGTAAACAGCTTTAATCCAGAAGCATCAGCACTTCTGCTCTGCTCTTCCCCCACTTCTTTGAAGACGCCTCTAGCAGCAAAGCAGGGAGAAGGCACAGCTGAACTGAATGTTTGACAAATCTTAAACTGTGAAAACTTGCCTCTCAAAATGAGATATCTCTGAGTAATTCTTCCCTGAACTGTTATTCTCTTAGTACTATACTGGCTAAATCCTGCTGTAACATTTGCTGCACGGAAGATGCATCACATAATACTTCATCTCAACTTTATAATCCTCCAGAAGCCAAATGTATAGCATGCAAAAACAGTCAAAGTCAGCCTGGAGAGAAAACTGCTACTTTTAGTCTGGAGGCTGGGACAACTGCAGTGGATTAAAGGGAGCCTGTTAGCAGGTGGTTGGAGAGAGCTCGGTAAAATAAACGAGATCGGTGCATGTTTGTGTTCCCTTTTTTTCTTTCTTTAGGCACCTTTTATATCATCTTTGAGATGTGGTAAGTTTTCAGAGAGTTAGATCGCTTTTATTCTTGAAAACAGTATTTTATGATAACAAACTGTGAAATCTGTCTATATGCAAAGCTGTTTCATTTCCAGTTTACCCAGCTGGCTTGTGCCTGCCGATGCTCAGCAGAGTGTGATCGTACATGACAGCGATTACCTGTTGCTCTTGCTTCCCAGCAGCAATGGTGGGAAAGGGCCTGTGACCCGAGCTCTGGCTGTGGGGGTGCCGGTTAGCTCCAAGACACGGTTCTCAAAAACCTTGCAAAAAATTCGAGGGGAATTGGGAATGGGTTTCAGCTGAAGTTGAGGTCCCTTTAAAAATGTGAAACATTAAGCTTAAAATTGAAGGGGAGAAATTTGAGCTGTTGTTTTGAAAACCAATGGGGTGAGTTCATACACAGCATTTAATAGAAAGGTAATCGCTTCAGCCTGTTTGGGCTGATTAATTTTTACAGTCCATGGTTCAAAAATAAGCCTCAGAAATGTCAAAATGCTTTCATCCTTGCACATTGCTTCTTATCTGTTTCTGGTTTATGACATGGTTTCAAGAAAATTTCTAGCCCTGTCAGCTTCTATAAAATACTTAATTTATTTAGAAAAAGCAAAGCCAAACAAACAAAACCCCCCAATAACAACCTGGAAGGCAAGAATTATAAGTACTGGTTAAGATGACTTCATTTGACCAGGACAACCCACTGCAGTTGAAATCTCAGTACTGCCTGTCCTCCGCTTGTCTGAATACGGTGCGCTCTGAGGAATTCACTTGTACCATCTGCATATGTATCCAGTAAGTCCAGTCTTTGAATTTCTTCGTGTTTTTTTTTTCCCCCCAATCATTTGAAGGCAAATGAAAGGAGGAGGGACAGAAAAATAGCAAACTGCTTCAAATGTATGACTCCTTCCTTTTGAGTTTTGTCAGTAGATGTATTTCCGGAAACAGAACTAGTGAAAATATCATCGCAGGGGTTGTATGGGAATTATTTAACAAACAACATAATTGCAACCGTTGTTGGGGGAAACAGCGGTAAGGTTAGTAAGCTTGAAATGTAGCTTTATTCTTGGTTTAAAAAAAGTGGGGGGGGAGGGTGGAGAAAAGACAAAGTAAAAATTAGTAGACTTGATAAAGGCACCTAATTGCCCTGCCTTTAGAAAGCTGGTGCTTCTCATGGAAGTTTGGACTAGAGGGGCCTAAGAAAGTTGGTGTCATTGGAACTCTTTTTTGCTATGATTGAAAACTGAGTCTAGTTTACAGAAAATGAAGAATTGCAAATATGTTTCAGGAAAGTCAGGCAACCTCCTCGTAGAGAAGTATTCTGAAGCTTTTGTCTGGTGACGTATGGGATTGTAGCACTGAAACAGTTGAGAGCCCTTCACTCTATAAGCAGCCTAAAAAAAAAAATCTTTAGATGGATTTTCTTTAGAGGTTAAATAGGGGAAGTCATACTGCAGTATCTCAAAATAACTTGTATTTCTAAATTGTTAAAGCCTATCTGTAGTGTGGTGTTCATGCTAATAGATCTTTCTCAAGATTGGGTGCATCTGGAGGATCAGGTGCCTCTCACGTGAGAGAGTCTGCTGTGGCTCCCGTTTGCGATAGCTTCGTTCTCTCTGCCTAATGCATCAGCATTAAGGAAACCACAGAAACGTTAGAAGAGAAGGTTACTGTGCTGTCAGCTGCTCAAGGCTGCCGGAGTTCTTCTAAGAAATATGAATGAAACATTCCCTTGAGCAGATTTTCCTGAAATGAAGGGGTTTTGTTTTTGTTTTCTTTCTTAGAAATGTAATAAATGGACTTTCCTCTGTGTGCTGGCTAATTGCTTCCAAAAAGCTTCCTTTTATTGTCCTATAGGCAGCAAAGGCTATTTATCACACGATGCAGCTTCCACTTCAATGCCCACCCACCCCAAATGAGCATAAGCACAGATACTCCCACCCCTCCAAAATACAGAAAAGCTCAGCTTGATTTTTGTCCCCCCCGCTCCCAGTAACACCTTTAACATTATCAAACTCTTTTATGCTATGAGAAATGTGTACTTTAACACTTGAGTGAGATGCTCCTCTTGGGCCTCTGACAAGGGTTTTTTGATTGTCCTGGTTCTTCCCATGCGTGAATAGGGGCAGCTTGCAGCAACTGGTAGAGGTGAAGCTGTGCTAACGCTGTAAAGTTGTTCTTATGTGTACAGGCTGACACTAGGCGTGTAGTACCTCTTTCTTGACTAACAGAGTTATCCAAGTCTCAGACCGATAAGTATGGCATATTGGGGAAAAAATTGCAAATTCATGTCCTGCAGTCTATGTTGGTAATAGGAAATTTCTCTGTGAATGCTCTATGTAGCACCAGAGCATGCTGAAAAACTCCGGGTGTCATTAAATGTCGCTAAGTAGTAAATAACAAATTGTCTAGAAATTGCTTTCCGAAATGTTCTGAAATTCTGCTTTATCTTTTGTGTGTGTATGTGTACAGAAGATTAGCAGACAATTGTCCTTGCCATAGCATTTCTGCGTTATCACTTCCCCTATCTTTTTTGACAATAACAGTGATCCTCTTTCAGCCATCCAGAGCTGGCGGTAGGAATGATGGGTGGAGGCACACAGCAGTGACATCTTCCCTATGAAGGCTTTGTTCTGAGGATCTGCCCTCTTGCAGGTCAAAGCTTGTTCCTTCTTTTGTGCCGTTGCAGCCGTACGTGATGTGTGTTAGCTATCTTGTCTGATCTTGATAATTTTATGAAAAATTAAACATGACATATTATACATGCGTGACAGCATATGTCTTGAAAAGAGAAACTTGGGATTAGATTTAAGATACTGTCTTCTATTGATTAATGCTGGAAAAAAAGAGCTGTGTGAGTTTACATAAGCACTCTTCTTGGCATCCAAAAAAAAGTTGCCTTTCTGTCCCTCACTGTGCAAAAGCATCAATTTCTGATTTGGCAGTCTCTTAAAAGGCTGCATTTCCTGTTATTCCCGATGCTGGTTCCAAGAGTCAAGAATGTGAAGACCAAGCAGTTTGTATCCAGTTTTGTCATTGCTTTGCATAACTCCTCACATATTTCAGGCCTGAGAAAGGTTGCTTTTTCTACTGTGAGAAGATAGCTATGAACATATGACTGAATAAAACTTTTGTTTTGCACTTTAGTGGGAGAATACTGAGCTGCATTGGGCTTGTGTATGTCCAGATTACTAAGAGCTACTCAGAGTTGTTTACTGTACTTTTTAAACATCTAATCTTTCTAAAAGCCCTCAGATTTTATAAATGCCGTGATAGCAGTCATGTTGGTATTGAATGGAAAGCCAAACTATTGTGCACAGGTAATGAGCAAAACCCGCTGTTGGATTCTATGTCATGAAGTACGCTTTTGCTTCTGGCTTTGGATTCCTGGCTTTAAAAATGGGAAAAGAAATGTTTGGAGGGAAGGAAACTAGCATCTTCCCTGGAGTTTACTTGGTGAGGCAATCCCTTTTGGGATGCAGAGGAAAATTGTTTCAGCTCTGGCCCAAATTAGATCCTAAGGGCATGTTGATACCTGGCTGTGCTTTGTTCAGCATCATGATGCTATTTAGTTATGCTGTTGGTGGAGAGCCATTTGTCCTGTTTTCAGTGTTACAGGATTTCATTATTTCATTAAGCTGAAGTATCATTTGCACGCAAATGTCTCTAGGAAAAGAAATGCTGTTTGAGTGAAATTTCTCTATTTGTGGTTTCTGTGTCGAAATATCTGGCTGGAGGACGTGTGGAGCCACTTCAAGAGATGTACTGTAATTATTTTGTTTTAGCAGCCACTTGGCTAATGTGGTACCAATCTATATGTTTAAATCGGAGGCTATAGGTCAAAGTGTCTAATTAGACCTCTGAACACCTGTGCATGCCAGGAATATATGCAGCAGTTACCATTTCTCTTGATATACATGTTACATTTGGCAGTTTACAGGAAGAAAAATGTCATCTGCTTATGCTTACTTATCTCTCTAATATTATACTTTATAAACCCAATATATCTCTAATAATTTGGTTTTGTGTTCCTGTCGTCCCCATATGTGATCCTGTCTTTTGTATTGATTCTCTCCCCTATCTTTGTGGGATTTACATGCAGCTGAAAGTCAGCTTTTACTGGGGTTAGGGAAACTTTACAAATGTTGAGGTAACCTTATAAACAGGTTAGGGTAGCCAAGGACAGATCAGCTCCTGCTGGATTGCTTATTCTCACTGAAGCAGCTTTTGCAGGTCACTCTGGAAGACAATGTCGTGCAAGACACATGGTCCTATGATGGTTTGTAAGCAGTGGTGGTTTTTGTCCAGTGTTGTCTTACGCAGATTACCAGATCTGTCCCGTGAAGGCAAAATGATCTTGGAAATTCTTGAGGAGTTCTTATTCTTAGCCCTTTAGCAAGAAAACCTGAGCACAGTGCCCTCTGGACACTTACTGTTTTCAGTTTTTTACTGTTATGTGAAATACCCAGATAGTGTGATTCTACCTGTGCTGAAATTAAATGTGACTTTTAGGAAAGAAGCCAAAAATATATTTGTGTGCATAACTTTCTGTATGTTTTAAAGAAGCTTGTCTAGGCCAATGTGTTTAGGGTAGCTGCAGTTGCAAGTACTGTGCAGAGTTTGAGCTCGGTGTTACAGATTTGTTAGTTTTAAGACTCTTATCACCAAAATAACTGAACGAAGCCAACTGCCTTCTGGGTTCGTTTGATAATGGCTGGATATGAGCAGATTTTAAAAGGTAAAGAAAGAGTTGTGCTGGCTTGAAAGCTAAGAGCCTGAAACTTTTCTGTTTGGGTTCATGATTTCCTAAACATTACTGCCAAATCTGAGCCCCATCAGCTACGCGCTAGTACAAACTTGATCCACATCAGGAAGCAGCATATAACTTCATTTCTGTTAAATTAGTAGGCATAATGTAGGTTTTTTATGCTACTTGTGTGAGGACAGACTACGGCTACCCAACTTCATAAAGTCTGCTGTAGCAAAAGTTGCCTCTTGAAAGCTTTTTGGGAAAATTTGAGCTGATATGATGACTTTGCACTGCTTCTACACGCTGGCATGTGGCTGCAATGCTTTTGATTTGGCAGGAAGAGCCCAAAATGCACATAACTCCTGTTAACTGGACCAATGACATGTCTCTTCAACTCTTTATAGAAATACTTTTCCAGTATATATGAACTCATAAAACGAGTAAATCAGTGCTTCCATTCAACAGACTTGTTGCTGTAGTATGCTGTGTGGTGTCTTCTCCTCGCTTTAGCATTATGACTCCCCTTACGTCTCATCACGTTATGCAGCAAGGCAAAAATTAACATCTTTATTCGATACTTCTTAACAGGTTACCAAAATGGTCAAAACGGTCACCACTAGAACAGTGCGTCAGGTCCCGCTTGGGCCTGATGGCCTGCCGTCGATGGATGGCTCGTCTCCCATGGGCAGCTACACAGATTCGATAGACAGAAGGTACATGAAGAATGGGGAGCGGTACATCACACCACAAGCATCGTCCACGTTAACCAGATCTTACAACAGCTACAATGATTCTTACCCTGACAGCCATGAAGGCCAGTATCGCCCTTATATCGGTCATGACGGTTACGGAGATCTAGCCGATAACTACGGCAGCTTGTCCCGTGGTGTCAACTACCGTCCTCGCTATGCCTATGTGCCAGGGAACAGTTACCGGCCAGAGGATGGTAGCTTCACTTTACCGAGCAGAAGGGATAACTACGGTCCTATTGCCCAGCCTCAGGTGCCAGTGGGCAGCAACATTGACTTGAACCGCTCTCAGCCAGAACGCTTCCAGCCAGAGCCCTATGGACTGGAAGATGATAACCGCAGCCTTGGAGTAGATGATGAAGGATATGAACTGGATCCAGATTACTCCACTGTGAACCGGAGGACATCTGCAGGTGTGCCAGAGAGAGGAAGACCTCACAAAGGAAGGTAAAGCCCGTTTGTTTCTTGCTACGCTATTTGCAGCTATGTTTTTCTTAGTTGAGCACATACGTTTGAACTCGCAGTGGTCTGGCAAGTTCAAGAATTGCTTAGCGGAAAAAAACATAGCAGTGATTGTGGTCAGCATATAGTCTCTGTAAAGAGACGAACATCTTAAAATCTCAAGAACAGGAAAATTGAGGGGTGGAGGGGGAAGGGCCTTGCACAAGAGACAAAATGAGCAGTAAACTGATTTGGGATTGCAATGCGTTTGTGATCTTGGCTAGGGGAATGATCTCCGTTTCTCAAAAACAATTGGAGGCAAAAACAAAACGTCATAAGCACAGGAGCACAAAATTAAGGTAGCCTTCTTGAGGAAGAGGTTCCTGCTAGAGAGGAGGGGAACTCCCTAGCTTGCTATGAACAAGGTAGAGCCTGCCATTTCGTTAGTCAATAAATAACTGTGCAAAATGCACATAAAATCTAGAAGAGGTTGTGTGTTCTGCTCAAGAACCCTTTCACTGTGTTTCTGGGTGGTTTAGTTTAGACTGAATTTAGAAAGAAAGATATACTGTCCTACAAGAAGGCTGGGCTACATTTCTTTTCCTCTTTAAAAAAAGAAATGTGACTCCAATGTATTCTTCTAGTCCCATCCCATGCTAGCAAGGTGAATAAAGGGACTTGTAATTTGTGAGCCTTCTGACAGAAGTGGAAAAAAACCACAACTTTGAACAGCTGGTTGGTTGCGGATGAGCAGATACCTGTGGTGGTGAAGGGACACTCTTCATGAGAGCTGTCTTGCGAGGTGCTTGGCACTCTCGGCTCCTAGGCCCGTGTTCATTGCACAATCTAAGCTGTGTGATGAGGTTACTCTGAACCTCACTGAAGTACTTCAACATTTTATAAGATCGGGTCATTATTTTGTCCTGTCAGTCTATGTAAAGGGGAGTTCAAGAGCATCTGAGTAGCACTTAACATAACTAAAGAGGCCAGTCACAAATTATTTCAACTTCACTTGTCTTCCCAAGAGACATTCTGCTTTATGCCATGCTTTCTGGCATTAGCGCAGCTATTGGCTCTTGCTTTGGGGAAAAAAAAATCAAGCTTGAGAGCATTCTTATTACTCAGCTGAAAGTCATCTTCTGAGTATAAATCCGAAAAATTCATGTACTTCAATTGTTGGCTGTGCAGTGTACTAACCTTTTGCATATGTCTGCTTGTAGTCATATCCTCATGACTCATATTTTGATGCAGATTTAATTCCCATCATTTTACTTGTAGTGTAGAGTCGTTTCCAGAGCTGTGGAGAGAGAGTTTGGAAGCCACCTGCTTCTGGATCTTTAGGTGGTCTTTAGACCTAATACTTCTGACCAAAAGCTTCTCTTCACCAGCACTAGCTTTTGGTGGCGTTTGGGAAGGCCTTTCCCCTAGCCTTTTCTTGGAGCTCTACTTCATTCATCCTTTTGTAGCTCTATTTTCTTAGCACTTCTGGAAGTTTCTTTTAAAACTAAATGGAATCAAGTACCTGCAAATTGGCATCTACATGCGCACACACCCCCAAGAAAAAAAAATGAAGAGCCAGGAGCTCCTCAAAGTCCCTTATGATGTCTTTGTAAGCCTACTACCAGTGGGACCACAACAAGGTTTTATGGGATTGAAGGCTGAAGTGAGTATCAGCAGCAAGTAGATGCTGAAATACTGATCAGTAGACCAAATGCGAGTTGCTGCTGCCTTGCATTGAAGCAAAGTTCACAACTCTGGTTAAAAACAGGCAACAGTGGTTTCAAATTTTTGTTAGTGTTTTTCAAACTATATGCATGATGAATAATTAAAAGCCTTCTTAGAACCTGTCCATTTGCATTTTTAAAGTTTTTTTTTTTTTTTAACATCCCTTTGATTTATTGTTTCTTGCAGTTTGGATAGGACCAATTTGCAGTTTTTGTTTTGGATAGGACCAATTTGCAGTTTTTGTTTTACATTTCTTTTGTTGCGAGTTTTTTCCATATTTAATATGATCAAGAGGTTTTGACAAGTAATTAGCCTGACTGTGGCAGCAAACTTCAGCTTGTAAGAACGTAAAAAGATTATATGAGGACCTCTTCATAAATAGTTACTTTTTGACATTTCAAAGTAGTATTTAAACATTTCAATAAAGCCTGCATTTCAGCTAGCCTATTGATCTGTAAGAAACTAATGACAGCAAATAGTTCTTTGAACTAGATGGAGGGTAATTACTACTTGATTATTCCTTTTTTTTTTTTTTAAAAGGAAGTCATTACTTAGGAAACGTAAGAAGTTGATGGCACTTTGGCACTATGTAGAGTAGGTATAAGCATAACACTGTTAGAAGCTTTCCTACATAGTTGTGTCCACATGCCTCAAAAGAAAGGTGACAGGTCCATAAAGCCATGAAGTCAAGGGGAAACTGCATTTTATGAATTGTGATATGGGATTGCTTGCTAGAATAAGAGAAAGGCGTGGGGGCTTTTGGTTTGGTGGGTGATGTGGGGTTGTTTTTGTTTTTATTTGGGTTTGTGTTTTTTAAATATACAGTCCTCTGCATGCTGTAATTTAACAAGTTCCAATTGGTATTTATTTAAGTCTGCATCTTTGTGTATTTATTTCAAGACTGTTTAATGTCCAGTTTGGGGCCAGAAACAATACCTGATTCTCTGGAGAAAATTATAGTAAGAAGGCGTTGCCACCTTCATTGCCACTAGCTTTATCTTGGTCTTTGTCAGCAATGTGCTACATCTTGATGTTCATGCAAGACACAGAAGGAAAGAACTTAAATCTGGGTCGCTCAGGAGGAGAGATGGAGCTGAAGAATGCTTGACCTGAGTTTGAGGGATAAATCGTTTCCATGAGAGAAGATGCATGACATTTAAAGGAGGAAATAAAACCAAATTTAGTTCCATCCACCAATCATCCTTTAATACTGGTAGTTTTACAGTGCTGTCCAAATCACCCTGTCTTTCTGTTTTTGACTGTATATCTACGATCTCAGCTTTGCCAATGTTCCTCTTGTTTCAGGCCTAGAAACCATTCCCGAGGCAGGAAGGGATTGCCCTAAATGGAAGGGGCTTTTCTGATGCCCAGTGGAGGGTGGAAAGAGGCCAGAGCTGTTTCTAGGGGTGAGCTGATCACTTGTAAAGAAGCCTCTGAGAGGAAATGATTCTAGAAATGGGTAAGACTGCAGGTTTGCTAAGAAGCTAATACTGTACCCACACATGGCAATAGGGTTACTGAGGACAGACTCTGAGCTAGGACATCTTCATCCAGTGGTGCTGTGAAGGAACTGAATTCTCGTTTCAGCTTGCTCATTGTAGAAACTTCAGTGATTCTCCCATTCTTTCAATTAAAAATGTTTTCTTCTCAGCTATTACTACGCTAGTTGGTTAATAGAGTTTAAAACAGAGTAAGGATACTTACTGTTGGTTGCTAGCTGTGGTTGTGTCCCATCTCGGAGGACTGAATGGAGCCACCTTCTCCAAATCTGTGGTAGCAAGTCCTCACCCCGTCTGTGACAGGGAGGAGATGTGGCCGTGTCTGCAGGGAATGTGTCGGGTGGATTACAGCTGCGCATCGTCCCTCCCAGTGGAGGGATTAAGCCCACCTCTGTCCTTCTCCTTCTGATTGATCAGAGAGAGAAGTACCTGTTGGCCTCTTATTCTTCTGTCAGCACCAGCCTCGTTTTAAGCTACTTATTTCATTATAAGTTGGGGGAAAAAAGGCACCTCCTCAGAGACAAATTCAGTCAAGTGCACAAAGGCAAATATACCATGTTCACTCCTCAGTGTGTGTCTGGGTTTGTTTCTTATTTTCTTTCTTTAAACCTAGCCCCTGCCATAAGATGATGTTGTGTTTTTTTTTTTTTTTTAAGAAAACAATTCAACAGCAACAACACCTTGCATCTGATGTTCTTTTCCTCGGGATATGCCCTGGTTTGTTTCAAGTCAGATGGCATAACAAATTGGGGTGAGAGAGAGGGATTTTGGTGTATAATACTGATCTAACGTTACTCAGATTTACTTTTGAAGATACATACAGATCTGTAATTGGTTTCATGCCCTCTTTGTTTCATTTAGTAGGTTGTTTCTGTTAAATCATGGGATTTTCTGCTTGTAGTCTTTAAAAATATCTAGTTTTACAGTTTTGTTAGGAGTTTGTGTGGTCCTTTTTAAAGGAGAAGCAGGAGCTAAGTTGTTTTTTTCTTCCCCAAAACCTATCCCCAGTGTTGTTTGAATTTGATCATTAAATGGACATTAACACAAATGAGAAAAACTTGCGACAACTTGAAATTTATCTTAAAAAAAAAAAAGTTTCTGTTCAGCTTGCAGTATCTTTCCTTTGTGATGATTTCTTTCTGTAGTGCCTCGTTACAGCTCACACTTGTACTAGTGTCTATGGGACTTGTTTTTCCCTTTAAAAAGAAAAAAAAAAAATTCTGGAGCAGCTGTTGGCAGTGAGTATTCCGGACTAGACGGGATTTGAATTTTTAATGTTAATGGAGTCAACAACAACAAAACAGCTTTCTGCTGTTAATTTTTCTGTGGCAGAAGTCTGATTTAAGACAACGAGGTGGCTTTGCTGGTTGCCTCATGGTCAAAATTATTATTCCCAGTACATGGGCTAGATTTTTGATTAGATAATTGTGACATTTGTGGGGGGCATTTGGGGTTTGGGAGATTTTTGTGTTCATTAGTTTTTACTTCTGTTACCAATATTTTCACTCTTTCTACATGATTCAGGTAAGTGTTACTCCCATTTTATTTCTGATGTCTTTTTAAAAAATCTGGAATATGAAGGCTTATATTTGTAGATTATCTTTGAGGAGCACTTCTAGCCTGACTCCACCCCACTCAAATTTAGTCTCACAACAGCACCTCTGCAAGCATCCTCAAAGCTGGGGAGATGTCTGTCACTGTGGATCAGCCTCTGGTTTAACAGCCAACCGTTAAGTATTATATCAGGATATAGTTAACGTTGGGACGCTGTCCAGTTTGGGC